CTGCTCTCAGAGCCTCAGAGCCACGCCGGGGGCAGGGCAGCTGTGACCCAGCTCTGAGGTGGGGAGGCGTGACTGAGGAATCAGGTGAGTCTGAGCCTAAACCCCAGAGAGCCCCCGACTGCTGCTGGCTCCCCTTCAGGTTGTTGTGTGCACTACCATCCAGAACAGAGTTCCGCAGGCAAAGATTGCAGTTGTCCGCAAAGAAAAGCCGCGTCTAAATCCCCAAATCCTCAGGTGGTCTGCTAGAAGTTTCACCTTCATTTTCCGTTCGAAGGATTCCTTAACAAAAGAAACCACTTGTTCTGTTCAGCTCAGCTGCTCAGTCATGGCCAACTCTTTGCGATCCCGTGGACTGCAGCACGCCAGGGCTCCCTGTCATCACCAACTCCCAGAGCTTGCACAAACTCAGTCCATCAAGTTGGTGGTGCCATGCAACCATCTCATACTCTGTCATCCCCTTCTCCTCCTGCCCTCAATCTTTCCCAGCATCAGGGTCTTCTCCAACGAGTCACTTTTTTGCATCAGGTGGCCAAAGTATTGGAGCTTCAGCTTCAACATCAGTCCTTCCAATATTCAGGACTGACTTCCTTTAGGATTGACTGGTTTCATCTCACTGCAGTTGAAGGGACTTTGAAGAGTCTTCTCCAACACCACATTTCAAAAGCATCAATTCTTTGACGCTCAGTCTTTTTTATGATCCAACTCCCCTATCCATATATGACTACTGGAAAAACCATAGCTTTCACTAGATGAAACTTTATCAGTAAAGAAATGTCTGTGCCTTTTAATGGGCTGTCTAGGTTAGACATAAGTTTTCATCCAGGGAACAAGTGTCTTTTAATTTCACAGCTGCAGTCACCATCTGCAGTGACTTTGGAGCCCAAGAGAATGAAGTCTCTCACTGCTTCCTCTGTTTTCCCATCTATTTGCCATGAAGTGATGGGACCAGATGCCATGATCTTCACGTTTTGAACATTGAGTTTTCAGCCAGCTCTCTCCTTCTCCTCTTTCACTTTCATCAAAGCTCTTCAGTTCTTCCTGGCTTTCTAACATAAGGGTGGTGTCATCTGCATATCTGAGGTCATTGGTGTGTCTCCGGCAATGTTGATCCCAGCTTGTGACACAGAAATAAACAGGTTTAATTCTCAATGCATTCCTTAATCTCAGCATGCAGCTATGAAAAGAGAAGACCCGGAAACAACAGAGAGGAGTACCAGCACACACATCGCCAAGTCGGGTTCCCGGCCGACATCCAGACTCCAGCATTCCTGTGAAATCCCGAATGAGGTCCGTCTGGACCCCCAGCGAGGAAACGATCCCGGGCTCTGCATCCACCCCAAGGGTGAGACTTCACACTGGGGTTATGGGGGCTCCCATTTATAATCCCAGACTGCACAATGATATCATCATCGGCTCTGTGAAATCATCGCAGCTCGAGGTTTTTCCCTAATAGCTGCAATGCTGTTTGTTTAATTTTGAGAATCAGAAGATCCCTTAGACTGGCGCCTAGCACCCAGATGCTAAGAAATTCCAAGACCCATTCGCTTTCATATCTAAAGTGCCCCTTGACTTGCTGGTAATGATAATCATCCCTGCAGGCAGGTGTGGGGTACAGGCAGGGTCCAGGGCCTGAAGTCGGTCAGAGGTATGCTGCCCTTTGTCTGAAGTCTGAACCAAGCTACCTCCACTTCAATTTCCCAAACGTGTCAATCTCGGGAGATCGTGGAAGACAGGGAGTACAGATGTGGGGAAGAGTGTGAGTGGGATCACACAGGACTTGTCCTTAGTGCCTGGTGTATTTCACTTGGCTTCATATCCTCAAGGGTCACCCATGTTAGAGCCTGTGTCACGCTTACCTTCCTCTTTTAAAGGCTGGATGCGTCTCCATTGTGTGCAGAGACCACACTCTGTTACCATTTATCTCGGCACGGACACTGGGAGGCTTGCACTCTTGGCTGTTGTGAATAATGCTGCTACAAACACGGGGCTGCAAGTATGTGTCTGAGACCCTGCTCTTAATTCTTCTGGGGACACACCCAGAAGTGGAACTGTGCCTCATGCGGTACTTCTGTGTCGAGTATTTGAGGACATGGCATATGGTTCCAGACCCATTTTCCTAAGCACATGGATCATCATGGGATCGTTCCTCCAGTTCCCCGGTGGATGGCAAAGTGCTTGGCTCTGCAGTTTGGAGACCACTCCCTGAAGCCGGGGAAGGGCCGTCTGTGCCTCTGGGGGCACCTGGGGACAGAAGCAGGGCTGGGTGGGGACGATGGGGATGGGGCTGCGACTGTGTCAGCCAGCACCTCTGCTGCTCGAGGCTTTTATTTAACGTGCTTTGCTCAGTCGTTAATTTGTGTCCAACTCTGCGGCCCCATGGACTGTAGCACACCAGGCTCCTCTGTCCACAGGGTTTCCCAGGCAAGAATACTGGAGGGATAGCCATTTCCTCCTCCAGGGGATCTTCCCGAGCCAGGGATCAAACCATCCTCTGCTGCATTGGCAGGCAGACTCTTCACCTGGGAAGCCGACACGGACACTGAGGGTGAGCCCAAGGCCAGAGGGACACTGACACGGGGACGCCGGCTCGGAAGAGGAAGATGACTCTTCTTCCCAGCAGCGGGGAACAGGCCACCTGCACCTGTGACCTCAGATGGCCAAGGAATGTTGCACGCAGAGGCAGAGCGAGCTGCTAGGAGCCGTCAGCATGCTCCTTCCGGGAGGCTGTGAGTGAGGAGTGGAGTTACAGGGCTGGGCAGTGCAGGCACCATTTTCAGGGGGACTTCTGAGATTTGAACACAGTGAGAGGATGGGACAGGGGAGGCTGTGCCCTGCTGCAGGAGGTGGGGGAAGGGAGGATTTCTGTGCAGCCTGAGTCACAGGCCTTTGGGGCAAAGCACCTCTTCCTTGGAGACCTCAGTCATTTTCAACTGCCTAGACCGGGCCCACCCACATGCTGGGGGCCAGACGCCTTACTCAGAGTTGACCCTTTCAATCCTCATCTCCTGTAAAAACTACCTTCACGATAACATCTCGATTGGTGTTAGCCCAGTTAACTGGACCTCTGGCCAAGTAGGTGACTCAAAACTATGTGTCAAGCTGGGCTACCTCATTTTTCCAGTAGTCATGTATGGATGTGAGAGTTGGACCATAAAGAAAGCTGAGCACCAAAGAATTGATGTTTTTGAACTGTGGTGTTGGAGAAGCCTCTTGAGAGTCCCTTGGACAGCAAGGAGTTCCAGCCAGTCCATCTTAAAGGAGATCAGTCTCGGGTGTACATTAGAAGGACTGATGCTGAAGCTGAAACTCCAATACTTTGGCCACCTGATGTGAAGAGCTGACTCATGGGATAATACCCTGATGCTGGGAAAGATTGAAGGCAGGAGGAGAAGGTGCGGCAGAGGATGCGATGCTTGGACGGCATCACCAACTCAATGGACATGAGTTTAAGTAAGCTTCAGGTTTTGGTGATGGACAGGGAGGGCTGGCGTGCTGCAGTCCATGGGCTTGCAAAGTATCAGACATGACTGAGTGACTGAACTAAACTGATCTGGGCTACATGTTTCTCTCATGGAAACACATGCTGTGTGGAGTTGAAAAGCCAACTACGGAAATATCCCGACCAAAATGTGTATATATTTTAATGTGAAAAGACTGGATTGAGAAGATCTTTCATTTCTCAGGATTTGCTTTGAGCTTACCTGATACTCGGCATCTGAAAAAAAGACTATTTTTCTCAATAAAGAATACCGTAGTCCACAGCAGGACTGGCTCCATCACTTGCAGGGTCTGGTGCAAAGTGAAAATGCAGGACCCTCTGCTCAAAAGCGATTAAGAATCTGAAGACAATGAAGGCAGAGCATGAGCCGGGGGTCCTTCTGGGGGGCCCAGGGAGGCCCACCAGCCACACCCCCTTGAGGCCAGAGCTGGTCACAGAGAAGATCACCAGGGAGGCCGGTGAGTGACGGTGAGAGTGGCTCGGGCACGTCCGCTCCCTGCACCCTGGTGGTCCGTGGGACCCTCCAGGCCAGAATCCTGGAGGGGGAGCCAGGATCTCCAGGGACCTTCCCAACCGAGGGATCGAAGCCAGGTCTCCCGCACCCCAGGTCTGAGGCACCAGGGAAGGACTATGCCGAGGACAGGAATTCCAAGTTATTGATAACAAACACATGGGAGATTATAAGGCAATTCTCTGTAAAAATTTTATTTTATTTTATTTTATTTTGAAAAGGTAAAATAGCTTAAAGCATTTAATATCTAAACAAATCAACCCATTAATTATAGTAGTCACAAAATATGCTTAATTTAGAAACCCACATTTATGTCTTTAAGAAAAAGGGTAAATTGTAGTTTACCTCAAAACATAAATTAACCCACTTAAAGAATCTGCAGAGGTCAAAATCATGGTGAATTTCAAACAACTTCAGAATAAAATAAACAAGTATTTTACACTGCTTTATATCTAAAAAATGCTTACAACTTCTCATAAAAATAGTCTGAGGCAACTATTTTCTCTTTTATTCTTTAACAGACATGTTCAATATCATAGGCAACATTCTTAAAACCTTAAGCTTCACGGACTTTTAGACATTCAAATACTATGGTCCCCTTTTCTTTGATGTGAAAGTTTATTCAGCTAGAAAAAAAAAAGCATGGTAGACAACTTATACATTTTTCACCAAATTCAAAGTAGTACAAAAATTTCAAGACTACAGAACTACACATCGTACCTAATGTGTCATTAAAAATAGAAGACAGTATTTTCTTCAGCAAATAAAACAGCATACTGGTATGCCGTTAATGCATAAACCTTTTAATGTATACTGTCATTCACAAATTATTTACAACTTCCACTGTGTGAAGAGAACTAGAATGTAAATTTTCTGCAAAACTGGAAAAAAGCAATACAAAATTTGTGAAAGCTTGTGTTTCATATACAAAAGTAAGCCAGTTTTTCATTTCAAATACCAGATAATGTACACAGTGATATTTTGGACATATTACAGTAATTCTTGAGGGTGTTTTAATGCTGGAGACAAGTTTACAGGCCTTGATTCTTCATCGAGGAGTACTAAGTCTTCTATTTCACTGCCTCTGTATTTCCTTTTACATATTTTTACCACTACCTTTTTTTTGAGAAATAACTTCAAGGCTTCTCTTGATGCAACTGCTTTAGCATTTTCTTTGCTTTTCCCACAGCCAGTGCCCAAATACACAGACTTACATCTCAATTCACAAACAATACTTTCTTGAGAACTCTTGTTTTGAGGCAGATCTGCCAGTTCTTTTAGCGGGACAAAAAACACATCCAGTGTGGCTTTCAGAGCCTCGACAGCTGCGTTTAAGAGCTCGCCATGATTCACGTTGGGACTAAAGCCACCAACAGCCACCAACTTCCATGCCACTGTTTTATACAGTCTATGGAAAAAAGGTTGTTTCTGTTTCACATCTTCGTTGGTTAACTTGCAACAAGAGAACTTGACGGAACTTTCACTAGACTGCGAAGTACTTTTGGAAGGCAGCTGTGCTGTGCTGGTCTGAGTACTACTCTTAGAAGCCAGCTGGGACACACTTGCTATGGCAGTGTTTTTGGAGACCAGAGAGCTGCTGGTGTGAGAGCTGTTCTTGGAAGCTAACAGTGACACAGCTACCTGCGAAGCACTTTTAGAAGTCAGCATTGTGTTCACTGAGGTGCTGCTCTTGGGGGTTAGTGAAGATGTGCCTGATGATGAACTGTTTTTAGAAACCGATGATGAAACACTTGCCTCTGAACTGGCTTTAGAAGTTAACCCGCTGGAAGCTGTCTCTGAACTAGGTTTAGAAGACAGCAGTGGCAGCTCTACTTCTGAGCTTCCTGAGGAGCCCAACAAGGGTACCTCAATCTCTGAGACGCTCTGAGAGGCTGAGGCGGACGAGCCTTCCAAAGCACTCTTTTTCGGCGATCCACTTTGTTGTCTGGAATCAGTAGACTGGGTTACATGACTATTCACACTGGATTTCAACAATGAAGAAACATATGATGCTGAACCATGTTTATCTGGAACTTCTGGTTCAGAAGCTTTGCCAGACCCTACTGTTGTCACCTGAGAGGCAGTGCTGCCGCTGCTCTGGCTGACAACCGCGCGCTCTCCATCACTTGTGGCGCTGCTATTCTGACTGGGGGTGCTGGAGCTCCGAGCTGAGTTCCCACTACTCTCTGATTTGGAAGAGGAACCCGAACAGGCTGAGCTGCTCTCCTGCTGAGCTGATGTTTTAGCGGGAATTTTCAGACAATCTTGCTCAACTGCAGAATTGTTTTTCCCTTCTATGGATCGTTTTTTGGCTGGCTCTTCTACCCCTTCTGGGCAACCAGTTCGTCTCTTGTGGTATGGATTGGAGCATCTGTCACTTTGACGCCTTCAGCCATACTAAGTATTTTATCCATAACTTTTGGAGGGTACCGGCACCCGAGGAAAACGTGGTTGGCCCAGGCCATGGAAAAGGAGATGAGCTGCTGCAGCTGCCGCTTGCGGGTCCCGCTCTCGGCGTCTGCGGCCTCCTCCCGAGGAGCGGAGGCAGCGCCGCCGGCGGGAGCCAGGTCCCCGGCGTTGCGGAGCAGGAACTCTCGGCGGTGGCGCCAGTGTTTCTCGGTCTCGCCGCCGCAGCGCAGCGCCTCCACCCAGGCAGCCACCCGCGGGTTCTGGCTCAGGTATTCCGACACCTCCTGCGCCATGTTGGGCCTGCGGGTCGCGGAGGCCGGGAGCGAACTCTGAGACGGGAGGCAGGCGGGGGGCAAGGGGCGAGCGGCCCTGTCACTGCGGCCTGCACCGGCAGCCCTCCAGAGTACGCCCCTCCGGAGGCCCAAACACCAAACAACAGCGCCGGGAGCAGCTGAACCGCCCACTCTGTAAAAATTTTAATAAGGTCATTTTGAAAAATACAGTAGTGAGGAAAATGCCAGTGACGTTTAACGCAGCAGGTCCAGCTCAGAAAGAGACGGGCAGAGGCCGAGCTGTGTGACAGGGTCTGTAACACACGGGAACCCTGCGTCCATCGTCACAGCTTCCTGCTGACGGCATGATGGAGTCGAAGGACAGACGCCTCGGAGCCTGGACGGACAGACGGCTCACTTCAGGTGACAGTGGGCACAGGCTGGGGGGAGGGGGGCGCACTGACGCCGCTGGGCCGCCCGCCCACTGCGCAGGGCAGCGTCTCCGCAGCCTGTCTCTCCACGAGGCTCAGGCGCTGACGTGGGCACGGCAGAGACAGCGGACCAGAGACAGGCTGAGAATGTGGGTCACGCCGTTAGGTTAGAGGGAGCCCAGCTCCGGATGACGCCGCCGGGAGGCCAGTGGATGCCTCACCACTCTCCACCTGAACCTCAGCATCGGCCGGGTGCTGGCCCCACGTCTCAGCAGGGAGCACGGGCGGCTGCAGAAACCTTCATGCAGTTCAGTCGCTCAGTCGTGTCCGACTAGTGCAACCCCACGGACTGCAGCACGCCAGGCCTCCCTGTCCATCACCAATTCCCGGAGTTACTCAGACTCATGTCCATTGAGTCAGTGATGGCATCCAATCATCTCATCCTCTGTCAGCCCCTTCTGCTCCTATCTTCAATCCGTCCCAGCATCGAGGTTTTTCGAAATGAATCAGCACTTCGCATCAGGTGTACAAAGCACTGGAGCTTCAGCTTCAGCATCAGTCCTTCCAATGAACACTCACGACTGATTTCCTTTGGGATGCACTGGTTGAAACCTTAACTGCCTCTTTTTCTCCAATACCAGCGGCAGAATGGAAAGTCATCTGGCGTCCATCCATGACGTGGTCTGAATGCCTCCTTCTCCTGAACAGGAGCTGTCTGCTCATTGCTGACCCCTGGGGGCAACGGAACAGGCTCAGGGAGAGTGGACGGTCAAGCACTTGAAGGGTCCTCTGACCACAAACCCTCCAAAGCAGACACAGTGGCTCGGGGACGGACTTCTCCCGGTCTGGGTCATGGCCCTCCCCTCATCTGCTGGTTTCTGGAGGGCTCAGGTTCGGGGGTCTCTGAGGCCTGCTCCCCCTCCCTGCGGCTGCTGTAGCCTCTGCTTCGCTCTGTTCTCAGGAGCAGGGCCACTGTGCAGAGGAGACAGGGAAGGTCCGCTCATCCTTCCAGTCCTGGAGCAGACAGCGCTCTCCCCGAGGGCCTGGACGGGGCGGGCGGAGGGCGGACCCAGAGAGCAGGCAGCCAGTGCTCCCTGCCAGCGTGACCACTGAGCACCCGCCTCCGATGGCAGCTGCAGCTCCGAGAAGGCGCGGTACATGAGCGCACATGGGCACACAAACACACACACACACAGGCGGTCTCCATCAGCCCTTTATTTGTGGACCTTCGCCACTGGGGTTTCAGCTCTTCCAGATTTGGGGAGAGTGGTGAGGAGCACTGGGGCACCTCCAGCACCCCGTCACGGTGAGCAGAAGCGGCCGCAGAACAGGATGGCCCCAGTCTTGCCATGCTGGATGAAGAAGAGGAAGGGGCGATCAGCTAAGAACTGCTGTCCGACGCTCAGGCTGTCAGGTGTAAACCTGGCCTCTGTGGCGGCCGTGGCCTCCGTGCCCTCCTCATTGATCTCCACGAAGCACTTGTGCACAACCTTGGACAGGTGCAAGCCTTGGTCGGATGACATCCCTGAGAAGTTGGCGCAGGCCCCGTTGAAGGCGTCAGTCATGCCCAGTTTCTGGAGGATGCCCTCCATGTCGTAACTGTCCTCCAGAGTTAACCGGGGCAGGAACAGCAGCATCTCCGTCTCAGCCAGCATGTCCAGCTTCGTCCATGCGACAAATTTCTCGTAGGTCAGGGCCTTCTCCACCTGGAGGAGAAGGTTGAAGATCTCAGGGTCTGCAGCAGCGCTGTCCCGGGCACTGTCCGCTGTGACCCACACTCTGTGCACTGAGGGCCCGGGGCGGCCTATCGGCTGCACACGAGTTCCCAGGCCCAGTGACCGGAGGGATCCGGACCAGACCCCGGGCCCCAGGGCCAAGGATGCCCGGTTACCGTGTTCAAGTCAGTGCTTTCACTGGGCAGCAGGATGACCATGTTCATCTCTTGGCCGACATAGGGAAGCACCAGAATCTGGGTGCTTATCTCTCCAATGTAGGTCATTTTAAAGGTGGACTTCATGAACATCATTTGCAAAGTTTTCTCTACATCCTATGAAGGAAATGGATAAACCTTAAGTGGAAACGAGATGCGTGGACACGCTGGACGAATCATCAGAGCTGGCCACCTGCGCACACACTCTGTCTTGTCTTCCAGACCCAGCCCAGCTCCGTGTCGTCAGCTATCTGCACGGCTCCAGCTCCCACCCTGGGTTCCCAGCGCTCAGGCTTCAGGCTTCTGTTCTCCTGCTGACCCAGGAGGGCTCTGCACAGACATTCCCAGCAGGACCTCACCCCGGCTCCTGCCTACCTGACATCTGCAACTGGACGCAACGGAGCCTCCATGTCGCCTCCCACACTGGCGGCTTGTGTTCCCCCCCATACCTGCTCCATCTATACTTTCCCATCTCTGCTCATGGTGACACCACTCATCCCGCAGTCAAACCCTGGAGTGTCCTGGGCCCCTGTCCTCCCACCCCACAGCTCACCCATGAACAAACCATGTTGGCTCTATTTTAAAGACATCAGGGGTTCTCTTTGGCTCAGGGGTAAATAATCCGCCTTCCAATGCAGGAGACACAGGCTCCATCCCTGGTCTGGGAAGACCCCGCAGCCCACGGGCTTCTAAGCCCTCAGGCCACAGCTACTGAGCCTGGGCTGAGAGCCCGGGACCGCAGCTCCTGAGTCACCGGCATGGAGCCCGAGCTCAGCCCCAAGAGAAGCGCCAGCAGGAGGAGCCCAGCACGGAGCCCAGAGGGCCTCCGCCACAGCAGCTGCAGGAGAGGCTGCGGCCAGGGGACCCGTCACGGCCGAGAATAAACACATGCAATTAATGAAATATACAATACATTCTGACTTGTGCTTCCTACCCCACCACGCTCAGCCCAGCCTGGGTCATCAGGAAAACTTCCGAGTAACCTCCCTGGTCCTTCACCCGGGCCCGAGGGGCTCTGGGAGATCAGAGCCCCTGTGAGAGGCCCTGGGCTCTGCGAGAGCTCAGAGGAGGGACACAGGAGCCAGGAACCCGGGCTGGGGAGACCGCTAGGGAGGCTTCGGGACGGCCCTGCAGAGAAAGGCGTCTGTGCTGGTAACTGCTGACGGGATGGGGCAGACGGTAGGATCCAGGCCACGGAGCTTCATAGCCACAGTCTCGAGTTTGACCTGGATCTCGGGAGTTCTAGGAGGCCCAGAGACCTGCGAGCTGCTCCGTGGGATGTGTGATACAAGACGGAACACCCGCGGCACGGACCCCCTGATGATACAGCAGAGCAGGAGCGGGGGGAGGAAGCCAGGGTTTGCCCGGATCCACCTCTGGGCTGCCACGGCCACGAGAGGCACGGGTCCTTGAGGTCAGCCTGCTCGCACACTCCGTAAAGCAAGGGGACCCCCAGGACCGATTCCAGGAACCTCCTTCGCTTTATGAAACATTCTTGTTCACCTTGCTGACTTTGAATGGCTTTTGCATGGTGCGCCCTTGGTTAAACTGTTCATCCCAAATTCCTTTGAAGGAGACGGCATTCACGAGAACCAGACGAGTCATGGGGTCAACTGAATTTGCAGCGAGCAAATCTCTAATTTTACCTGCAAAGCAGAATAAAGAGCCAGTGAGCTAGCAGGGTTTCCTGGGGGAGGTGCTGGGCACAGTATTTACTGGCCCGTCCCCTGGAGGAGTCAGGCACTGACCAGAGGGCTCACTGTCCCCCAGACAAGCATGGACAGCGAGTTGTCTGCTCAATCGCTAAGCTGTGTCTGACTCTCTGTGACCCCATGGGCTGCCGCCCACCAGGCTCCTGCATCCATAGGATTCCCCAGGCAAGTATACTGGCCCAGGTTGCCATTTCCTCCTCCAGGGCATCTTTCTGACCCCGTACAGGTAGCCTGGCCCGTAAAGCAAAATCAGCGACCAAAACCTTAAAATCTCTGCTCACAAAGATACCATGAGTTGCATAAAACACATACAATGAAGAAATCATAAGAGCAGGATAATTCACAGTGACCGAAAAAGGAATGTTCGGTCTACAACGTGAGGGGACTGTCCTGAATGGGAGAGGTTGAAGCCAGTGTGGAGAGGACGAGAACGAAGAACCACAGGTGGACCGAGGCTTGACCGAGTGACCTGCAGTGATGCTCAGCGACCCACAGAGCATGAGGTCCGCTGGACAGGCAGGAGGTGGAGCCCGCATCCAGAGTTTCCCTTCCGCCCTTTGTGAAAAGGGAGACTATATGAACACTTACTGCATGAGCAAAAAAATCAAAGTGTGTTTGCTCTGGAAGAGGTGCACCAAATACTGATGAGGAGGGGGGAAAGCTAGAGAAATTGATTCCTGATTATATTTCAGGAGTGCATTTTGAAAGTTACAGTTATTAACAGAAAAAAGTCATTCCTGTTTACATTTGCTGGTCTTGGGAAGGAACTGATGGGTAATGAGACTGATTCAAATACTACGCAATCAGAAGTACTGACATGCCCTCACCTTCTGTCTTCTCGGCTACCCAGGTGTTTATGTGCTTCCTGGATTCCTCCGTAGCGCTGACAAAGTCCAGCTCTGCCATCTCTGCTTGGTAGAATATGCGGCAGGCATCTTTGAAAGACTAGGAGAGACGGAGTGACAGAATCACATGGCTACAGAAACAGACCACGCCAACAGCTCACTTCTTCACGGCGCCAAACCTCAACACTGATCATTTGAAGGTTCCTTGTGGAATGTACAAATGAATGTGAGAGATTAACCTTCAATCTGGTTTCTCAGTTTTCAGCTAACTTGAATAAATGACAGTAAAATCACAGGCTTCCCAGGTGGCACAGTGGTAAAGAATCCGCCTGCCAGTGTTGGAGACGAGGGCTTGATCTCTGCGTGGGGAAGATCCCCTGGAGAAGGAAATGGCAACCCACTCCAGTATTCTTGCCTGGAGAATCCCATGGACAGAGGAGCCTGGTGGGCTACAGCGCATGGGGTCGCAAAGAGTCAGACACAACTTAGCGACTAAACCACAGCAACCCAACCATTCGAGAGAGGCCATGTGGCAACAGTGCCGGCAGCACAGGTTCCGGGCTTCACCCCTGTGTGACCCTGGGAAGGCTGCTGCGTCTCTCTGGCTTCTTTGCCCCCTGGCAGCACGGACGCAGCAGTAGCTACGTCTCAGAGGGGCTCTGAGGACCAGGAGAGCCTGGCTCTGTCCGTGTCACGTGGCTGAGCTCTCCGCTCACCATGGACCCTCTATCTCGTGGTCCAGGTGCCTCATTTCATAGAACGCTCACATCATTCAGGCTCTGCCAGCCTACTGCTCCACTTCTTCATCGGGGCTTTGGAAAAAGATGGCAGTCTCTCAGTCTAAGGAAATAGTCAGGAAGCAAAGTGGTCACCAGCAAGTCGATACCTCATCAGACCCTTGGTGATTTCAAGAGCTTTAAAGCACATCTGAAAACAAGAGCCTGCCTCTTAAATTACTGCTTAGTAAGTAATGACCAGTGAAAAAGCAAACTAAAGGAATATCTAATTATGCATTGCGATTGGTATTGGATTGTTGGAATCCTCGATCACTGTGAAATAAGTGAAAAATATTTCTCATCTTTTGATTTTATACTCCATATCAAAATAGCATTTTAAATATCAGTGCTTTTCTTCCAAAATTCACCAGGAAGAATGCACGTTAAGGAAAATTAGCCAATTCCTTGTGTTTATCGGAAGTTTTGCTTTTCTGTATATCTAAGGCTTATATAAAGATGACAATAAATTAGCAAGAAGCTAAGACAGATAAAAGCAAGTAAACCCAGTTGTAAGAAAAACGCACACCGTGCTGCAAAGCCTTACAGATGTTTGACCTCATGCTGACGACATTCACTTTACACCACCTGTTTTAAAACAGTTAATTTAGATCTGAAACAAGTATGAAAAATAATGAAAAAAAATCACATAACAGAACAAGATCACTATCCTAAATATACAAAGAACTCATTAAAAAAAAAGACATAAAGCCCAAAAGTAAAAATACACAAAGGATATATAAACAGGCAATTTTCAGAAAAGGTACAAACGCTTGATCGACATGAAAAGCTGCTCAGTCTGATGAACAATCAGAATGTTAAAGGCTCAGCACCCGCAGCGCTGAGGGAGGGTGGACGTGCGCACCTGCTACCCTTCCCGAGGACGACGGGAAGGGCTGCAGCCGTCGGGCCGGGAATGAGGCAGAATGCACTGAGATCTGAGAGCCTCCCTCTGTCCCTTCCTTCTAAAGTCCGTCTGGAGTAGCAGGCACGCACAGGACAGAACCACACACACATGGTCCCTGCTGGCTCGGCCCGGGCTGGGCCCCACCCCACACCCACCCGGGGGCTGGCGGCTGCGTCTCAGTACAGCCACCCTGAGGTCGCTGCCCACCACCGTGGGAAAGGGTGAGGCGGACACACGCTGTTGGTGAGGCTGAAGCTCCCACACTGGCCACCTGATGCCAAGAGCCGACTCACTGGAAAAGACCCTGATGCTGGGAAAGATGAAGGCAAAAGGAGACGGGGACGACAGAGGACGAGATGGTTGGGTGGCATCACCGACTCAATGGACGTGAGTCTGAGCAAACTCTGGGACACCGTAGAGGACAGAGGAGCCTGGCCTGCTGAGGTCCACGGGGTCAGAAAGAGTCGGACACGGCTCAGCGACGGAACAGCAACGGACACACATGTCGTGAGATCCAGAGACTTCCTCTATGCACAGGGGACAAGCCCTTATACCGGGAGTGGGGGCCAGGGCGTGAAGAGTGTGTGGCAGGACTGTGGCTTTGTCTGCATTTTTATATAATAAGAGCACACCCACAGATTACTTAGCTGTTTATTAAAAAATTTTAAAGAATCAAGAAAAGCACTGTAATTAAATAGAACCAGAGTAAAAAATACAAAAACTTTTAAAAATATTCTGCATAGGAAAGATAATAAAAATATTTACATGGATAAAAATATTGAACAAGCCTCACAATGCACAGAAAACTTCTAACATGTGAAAAACAACATCAGAAATATTCTATTTGATCACTTCTTTGTTTGGGCCAACTCATCTGCAACTGTGGTGTGATCCATGTTAGTTCTCTGACAATCATCTCATGGAAGCTTCACGAACATGTGAACAATGTTGCCACAGGGCTCCACTTACAGGCAATGACCAATCGGTTCCAGAAGCGTGAGGTTGTGGCTTGGGTCCCACACCCCGCCCACCGTGTGGGTCTCAGCTCATAGGGCCTCAGCTGCACCACAAGGCCCAGCTCCCGCCTCCACCCGACCTTGGTCTCTATCTGCTTTGGAAAACGGGAGTATGACTTACCGAGAGGAAATCGTAAGTCTTCTCTCCAAAGAGCCTGTTGGCGGTTCTGAGCAAGTACTGTGTGCCGGGCCTGTTAACTTCACTGAGAAGGTTCTGAAAACCCTGGTGGACATCTTCACCTCCGCCACTGCTCGTGCTTAGAGAGAGCATCTGAAATCAAAAACAGATAAAAACTCACAACTGCAGTACGCCCTGACTACAGGAAATGAACACCACACTGAAGTCAGCCTAGGAACCCCACTGACCCTCCCCGCAGCTTAAAGCAAGACTCACCCAAATAAAGGCACAAGGCCTCTGGGAGCCCCCCGCCTGCCTGCCTGGGGGTCAGATGGCAACGGCTGGAGCAGAAATGCCCTCAGCGAGCCCAGTGCCCTGAGCACAATGTCTGCCAGCAGACAGGGCCGGCGGACAGGCCTCCCATCTCTGCACAAACAGGCCACGGCTTCGGGTCTGGACTGGCCTCGGGACGGGCTCCGACCGGTGGACACAGGAGAAGTGGCTCTTCTGGGCCCGGGCCTTCATAAAGGCCTGGCAACTCCACGTTCCCTGTCTTTCCCCTGTTGCCAGGGTGCAGAAACGCCGAGCCATCCTGCTGGGGCCTCGTGACAATGCGGGAGAGCGGTCACACAGAGGAGAGCTCCTCGCGGGATCGGGGCCGCTCCTGTATCACGAGGCGCCCAGCGGGCACCGTGCGGCCAGGACGCAGAGTCTGAGGCCCGGTCCCGGTCTTTCCTGGTCGTCCATGGCTTGACGGGGTCACAGAGAGAAGGTCCAGACAGCTGAGGCCAGAGGGCCGGGTGGCACCACTGCTCAATGAGAGGAGCTTGGGCGGGAGCCCTGGAGAGATGCCCATCCAGGGCGGGAAGTCCGGCCCTCCCCCCGGAATCGGAATCTACACAGGAGGTGCCCAGAGAGATGGCAGCCCTTTCAGAGCTTGGGAGAGCGGGAGGGGAGTCAGTGACGAGCTCCAGAGGGGACTGCTCCCTTTCAGGGAGAACTTAAAGGGAACACGTGGATCTCCTGGTGGCTCAGGGTAAAGGATCCACCTGCTGGTGCAGGAGACTCAAGACTCGCGGGTTCGATCCCTGGGCCGGGAAGATCCCCTGGAGGAGGCCATGGCAACCCACGCCAGTGTTCTCTCTGGAGAATCCCATGGACAGAGGCGCCCGGAGGGCTAGAGTCCACGGGTCACAAAGCGCCGGACACGACTGAGCGTGAGCACCCCGTATTTGCATCCTAACACTTGCTGGGTGCACAGTGCAAATGCTTCTCACTCCCAGCCTCTCCAGCGGGCAGACGACCCTGAAAGTGATGGCCTTAGGGCAAAGGTGAAACTCAAGGCCCAGACTCAAGGGGAGGGATGAGGACTCTGGTAAACCTGGAGACCCTCTGGACCCCAGGCCCGGGGAGGGGTACGGGCACCCCCATGAGGGAGGGCTGTGACCCCCACGGGGACAGAGGTCAGCGCCCCGCCGCCACTGTGGCCCAGGAGCTGACGTCCACCCCCTGTGCAGCCCGTCCGGGCCTGGCTCCGGGCTTCTCGGCAGGAAGGGCCTCGGCCAGCAGGGCCTTGGGCTGCGGGTCCGAGCAGAGGCTCGATGAATGCTTGCTCATTCAAGCCTGTCCTGCTGGAATCGGGTGCTGCACAGTCAGGAGCCCCAGGCCACCAGCCAGACAGACACTGGATGGCAGGCCCACGGACGGGGCAGATGGCGAGTGAGGCCTATCTGTCGAGCAAGGCCTCTGGGATTCGAATCGCAGACTCCGGCACACCGGCCAAAGAAACAACGTCTGTCGCTACCCAGAACCGGCTTCCCGAAAGTACCTGGGACATCTGGGCTGCGGTGTTGCCCCTGGCCCCCATGAGGACCATGGCCAGGGCAGAGGATATGCTTAGCGGTGAGAAAAACACATTTCTTGAGTTGTCTTCACCCAGCTTTTTCAGAAGGGTCAAGGCAAAGGTGCCGTTTGCTTCTGACAGTGCATCCATGATGGCGAGTCTGAAAGGATGGATTTAAAACCAGTGTCACATAAATTCAGGCCACAGGTCGACTGCGTCTCATATGCTGTTAACTGCTGTGAGCACTGACGCTCTGCTTTGATGAGGAAACAGGTACACGCTCAAAACTCGGTGGCCTAGGGGTTTCCCCTGCTGACCCTGCCCAGGCTCTGTCACCCGGCTTGGGACAAGGGCCTTAGGACGTGCACACGTCCACCTGTAGGTCCCGGCCGCGGAGGTCACAGCCCCGCCACAGAGGGCATCTGGTCCAGAACAGGACACTGTGGGGAGGGGCAGGGGTGGGTGAGCGTTCAGGGCCTTTGTGTGTGTGGTGGGAAGGGATGAGAGCTGAGAGACCCCAGCTCTTCACCAGAAAGCAGCATCCGTGATAGACACTGACCTGGGAAAAGAGAGCAGGTGACCCGAGGAAACGGCCTGAAGCTGCAGGGCGTGCAGGCTGGCAGCCCCGCTCCAGGCCCTGCGTCAGCTCCATGTATGAGGATGGGGATGCACCAGGTAATCTGTGCTCCTGGTGGGGTGCAGGGCAGCTCACCCCAATACACTCCACTGTAGCACAGTGATTGCTCTGAATTAAGGAGACTTCAGAAACAGCTGTTGCAAAAAGCATCTCTGCCCTTTTTCTGTTCCCCGAAAGCTGAAAATAAATCTCCATGTGCAAATACCCTCCCTGTACCAGGAGGTAGAGAGACATCTTTACATCCAAAGAGGGGAATGCAAGGCTGAAAAGGCTGAACAAGAAACCAGCAAACCCTGTCACTTGATGAAATTGCTACACCAAGCAAAACCCCCTTGATTTGTCAAATCTTCACACACACAGAAAGCCAACTGCCTTGTCCTTTCTTGAGTCTTATATCTCTGAGGTTACCATATGAACAAAATTCAGTGGGGTTCGTTTTCGGCCATTGATTTGTCTTAGGTCAATTTATTTACTAGACCAGCCAGGAAGATCGTAGAGGAGAGGAAACACTCCCCCCACACATTCTCTTCCATCACTTATATCCAGTTTGGTTAGTAGCTAAGTCGTGTCAGACTCTTTTGTGAATCCATGGACTACAGCATAGCTGGCCCCTCTGTCCATGGATTTTCCAGGCAAGAATACTGGAGTGGGTTGCCATTCCCTCTCCAGGGGGTCTTTCTGACCCTGGGATTGAACCCGAGGCCCCTGCATTGCAGAAGGATTCTTTCCAGTGAGCCACCAGGGCAGGCAGTAATACCCAATACCTTAACAGTAGTACAGAAAAAAGCAGAAGTTCACTCGTCTTCAAAGGCCACAGTGAAGCCAGTAATAGTTCCGTTTCTCCACTGACAACAGTTCCTGATGGTCATTAAAGGTGAGAGCATGCCCACTCCCTGTAAAATCGCTAAACTGAACAGGAAGGAATGTAGCAGTGAGGCCCAGAGTTTTATTCAGGATACTTTGATGGCAGAAAATACATGAATCGTGAGACAGGTGAACAGTCCACCATGATACAGGCCCCAAAGTGAAACAGGAAGCGATGCTTCGTGCACTCCCCGGGGCACTGAGACAAAACACCAGAGGCAGGACCTCAGGAGAGTCCTGGCACCCAGGGCTGGTGTGAATTGCTCTGATAGTTCAGTCCCTGCAGACTCAACTCAGGAACAATGCAAAGGAAAGTTATCAGAAACAACACAAAGAGAGCATGATTAGCAAACTATGTGATGGTGACCTGCAGAGCATCCAGAATCAAGGAAGCAGTCTTAAAACTGGGAAAAGAATGGGTGAAATGGGCTCCAGAAGAGCTGATTTAAAAAGCAGCTTATTCTGCTGGGCTCCCCCCAGCAGAGTGAGAGCTGATCACCAGGTCATGACTCTGCAGTCCACCCTTCATCATATGGCAGCACCCTCTCTCCCCAAAAAAGACACACACAGAGAGATGGGTGGAGAGCAAACTAAAGACATCCTTTTTAAAACAGAACCCTTAAAAGTTCGAGAAGCATTCATTTCCCATACTGACAAAGTAAGATAGGAATTTCTTCTCACACTGTGCGAACGATGCTGTGAAGCGGTACCCCCGTATTTCCCGTGTAATTAAGAACTGCTGTTGCTGCTTAGTCACTAAATCCTGTCTGACTCTTTTATGACCCGTGGACTATAGCCGCCAGGCTCCTCTGTCCATGGGATTCTTCAGGCAGGAATACTAGAGTGGATTGCCATGGACTCCTCCAGGGATCTTCTCTACCCAGAGATCAAACCTGAGTTTCCTGCACTGGCAGGTGGATTTTTTCCACTGAGCCAGCTGGGAAGCCTCAAATCCATTTCAAAGTGCACAAACCAGTACAATGGCTCTGAACTGTATTTCTGTAGCTGTACTTAGTCAAGCACAAAGGTATTCATGAAAGTGAAAGTGAGTGTTGCTCAGTCGTGTCCAACTCTTTCAACCCCATGGACATACAGTCCATGGAATTCTCCAGGCCAGAATACTGGAGTGGGTAGCCTTTCCCTTCTCCAGGGGATCTTCCCAACCCAGTGATCAAACCCAGGTATTCCACATTGCAGGCGGATTCTTTACCAGCTGAGCTACAAGGAAATCCAAGGATCCTGCAGTGGGTAGTCTATCCCTTCTCCAAGGGACTGAGGAGCCTGGTAGGCTACAGTCCATGGGGTCGGAAAGAGGAGGACATGACTGAGCGACTTCACTTTCACTTTTCACTTCTTTCAAACGAACATTTCAAGCAAAGATGGGCACAATAAAGATCAGAAATGCTATGGACCTAACAGAAGCAGAAGATATTTAGATGAGGTGGCAACAATACACAGAACTATCCAAAAAAGATCTTCATGACCTAGATAATCACGATGGTATGATCACTCATCTAGAGCCAGACTTCCTGGAATGTGAAGTCAAGTGGGCCTTAGGAAACATCACTACCAACAAAGCTAGAGGAGGTGATGGAATTCCAGTTGAACTATTTCAAATTCTAAAGGATGATGCACTCAATATGTCAGCAGATTTGGAAAACTCAGCAGTGGCCACAGGACGGGAGAATGTCAGCTTTCGTTCCAATCCCAAAAAAAGGCAATGCCAAAGAATGTTCACACTACTGCACAATTGTACTCATCTCACATGCTAGCGAAGTACTGCTCAAAATTCTCCAAGCCATGCTTCAACAGTTCGTGAACGGTGAACCTCCAGATGTTCAAGCTGGATTTAGAAAAGGCAGAGGAACCAGAGATCAAATTGCTAACATCCGTTGGATCATCGAAAAACCAAGAGGGTTCCAGGAAAACATCAATTTCTGTTTAATTGACTGTGCCAAAGCCGTTGATTGTGTGGATCACAATAAACTGGAAAATTCTGAAAGAGATGGGAATACCAGACCACCTGACCTGCCTCTTGAGAAATCCATATGCAGGTCAGGAAGCAACAGTTAGAAATGGACATGGAACAACACACTGGTTCCAAATAGGGAAAGGAGAATGTCAAGGCTGTATATGTAACGCTGCTTATTCAACTTCCTTGCAGAGTACATCATGAGAAACACAGGGCTGGATTAAGCACAAGCTGGAATCAAGACTGCTGGGAGAAATATCAAGAACCTCAGATATGCAGATGACACCACCCTTACGGCAGAAAGTGAAGAAGGAAAAAGCCTCTTGATGAAGGTGAAAGAGGAGAGTGAAAAAGTTGGCTTAAAGCTCAACATTCAGAAAACTAAGATCATGGCATCTGGTCCCATCACTTCATGGCACATAGATGGGGAAACAGTGGAAACAGTGGCTGACTTTATTTTGGGGGCTCCAAAATCACTGTGGATGGAGACGGCAGCCATGAAATTAAAAGATGGTTGCTCCTTGGAAGAAAAGCCATGAACAACCTAGACAGCATATTAAAAAGCAGAGTCATTACTTTCCCAAAAAGATCTGTCTTGTCAAACCTATGGTTTTCCCAGTAGTCATGTACAGATGTGAAAGTTGGACTATAAAGAAAGCTGAGTGCCGAAGAAATGATGTCTTTGAACTGTGGTACTGGAGAAGACACTTGAGAGTTCTTGGACAATAAGGAGGTCCAAGCAGTCCTTCCTAAAGGAAATCAGTTGTGAATATTCATTGGAAGGACTGATGCTGAAGCTGAAACTCAATTCCTTGGCCACCGGATGGGAAGAACTGACTCATTTGAAAAGACCCTGATGCTGGGAAAGTGTGAAGGCAGGTGGAGAAGGGGACGCCAGAGGATGAGATGGTTGGATGGCATCACTGACTCAGTGGACATGAGTTTGGATAAACCCTGGGAGTTGATGATGGACAGGGAGGCCTGACAGGCTGCAGTCCATAGGGTCCCAAAGAGTCGGACACGACTCAGCGACTGAACAACAACACAAGAGACAGAAGCTGAACACGTGGTCACCAGCCTACAGAATATTTCTGTGAGCAGAGTGAGACAATACTTTCACGTTGAAAAACCACTTCTTTGCTTATTACCTGGTTCCTCCGTCAACTGGGAAATAAATGTCCAAACACTGATAGCATATACTAAGATCCTTCTGATTTTCCCTGAGGTGAGAATTTGAAAATAACCCGTCAGATAATCATAAGCTGACTTTGATGATCAATCTGTAATAACATAAAAGTCCTTACCAGTCAATCATAAGAAGGGTAAAGAAGTCTTAATCACAAATAAGCAAAAAAAAAAAAAAAAAAGGGAACAAATTTAAGCAGTTTATCATGACATTGCAGATATCAAAGAAAACGACCAACAGTCTAGTGGGACTTTACATTAAGGGACAGCTCTTCTCCATTCAATGCACATGCGAGTAAGAAGCATCCAGATTTCACAGGACCTCAAGCGTGCGCGGGGGTCCAGGATCCACACTCACAGGGTCGTGAAGTCCGCCGCGGCCACGGAATGCGACAGGAAACCAAGCACAGCGCCAGCCCCCGCCCGGCCCGCCCGCCTTCCCCCTGGCGCAGGCCGGTGCCTCAGCCCCACCGCCGCACACGTACCTAGGGA